TTACTCAGAGCATGGCTCAGATTATTGAGGTGGGCCTGTTTTAAGAATGTTCAACTTCAGGTTATTTCCTCAGCACCAGTTCTCTACCTCTGCCCCGTATACTGTCTGATCTATATCAGAGATGAGCCAAACCACAGTGGTGTCATTGGCATGCTTGATGATGATGTTTGCTTGGGTGGGTTGGTTTACACTCGTATCTGTAGAGAGTGTACAGTAAGGGGACTGAGAACGCAGCCCTGTGGGGAGCCCTGGTGCTCAGTGACAGTGAGGGGGAGAGGTGGGGCCAAGTCGGACTGGCTGATGCCAGTTGGTGAGAAAGTGTTTGATCCAGGAGCAGGTGGCAGGGGGGATCTGAAAATAGTCCAGTTTGGTGGTGAGGATTTCTGGGATTATGGTTTTGAAGCTTTAGTCCACGAAGAGCATCCTATGGTGGCTCTTCCTGTTCTCCAGATGGCTCAGGCTCTTAGACAGCCTCAATTAAGTCTTTGAGGCTGTCTATACCAGTCTTCTGGGGATGGGTATGATAGTGGAGGCCTTCAGACAGTTGGGAACAGTGGCATGAGTCAGGGAGAGGTTGAATAGCCTGATGAGGATCCCTGACAGTTCGTCCAACCAACTTTAACCACAGCCTCTGGGATGCTGTCGGGGCCAGCAGGTCGCCTGGGGTTCACTGCTCCCACTTAGCAGTTATTTATTTGTAAAAAATGTTTGGAATCATGTATGATTTTTGTTCCACTTCTCACGTGTACACCACTTTGTATTGGTCTTTCACGTGGAATTCCAATAAAATTGATTCATGTTTGTGGCTGTAATGTGACAAAATGTGGGAAAGTTCAAGGGGGCCGAATACTTTTGCAAGCCACTGCAATTCCAGTAGATGTCAGTGCTGCTTTTAATCCGGTGGATCATAGGATTCTTATCTCTCGGCTGGAACAGTATGCCGGTATTAAAGGGACTGCATTGCAGTGGTTTAAATCTTACCTATCTCTGTTAGTTTCAGAGACACATGATCCCCAAAGACCTCGCTCTTTTGTGGGGTCCCTCAGGGATCTATTCTTGGCCCGGTTCTCTTCTCAATTTACATGCTTTTACAAAATATGGTATCTCCTTTCACTGTTATGCAGATGATTCACAGATCTACCTCCCAGACACTGTTTGATTGTCTGGAAGATGTTATGGCATGGATGGCTTTAAATTTTCTCAATCTAAATGAACAGAAAACTGAGATCGTCTTCGACCCTAGTGACCATTATGACCTTGGCCCCTTAGAAAATTATAAAAAACTGGTTGCGAGGAATTTAGGTGTGATTTCTGATAGTAATTTAACATTTGATAAACAGATAAATAATGTGATCAAGACCAGCTTCTTTCACCTCCGCGTACTTGCAAAGGTGAAGCCATTTCTCTGCTTCAGATACTTTGAGAAAGCATTCCATGCCTTTATTTCATCTCGCCTTGACTTCTGCAACAGCCTCTACTCTGGTGTTACTTCGTCATCTATTGGCCAACCACAGCTGGTTCAAAATGCTGTGGCAAGGCTTCTGACTGGAAAGTGGAAGTGAGAGCACATATCCCCTATATACTTACCTCGCTACACTGGCTGCCAGTAAGTTTTCGAATTATTTTTTAAGATCTTGACACTTGTTTTTAAAACATTGTATGGAGTAGCTCCTATATATCATTATTGTGTCAGGCACAGACACAATAATACTGCAGTATGACGGCCACCCTTGTTATCCTTGTTGCCTGTATCATATCCCCCAGGTAATTAGTGGGTGGAGCTGACCTGACATCTGACCTGAGCAGATGGAGCCCAGGGTATTTCTCACATGCATTCCCTTCACTCAGAAATTGCATGTGTGTTGGCAACCATTCATAGTTTATTTACTTTATTTAACTAAACCATTTGTTGCATTCTTTAGAGCTGATTTGTAACAAAGGGTTAAGTCACATCTAAAATGTGTTCTTATCTAGTAATTGTTTCACACATGTTTTAAAGAAAAAGAATTACCTCTGTCTTTTTTGTAAACTCATAGATTTGGCCTAGGGCATATTATTCTATGCCCTACTGGCTCTGAAGACTGCATCTCAAACAATGACATTTTGCTAACATTTCTTACATCTCTTCCCGTACTTGGCCCTCCTCTGCCCAAGATGCTGTCTGTTTTTTAAAATGTCTCCAAGACATTGTTATTGATTTTTGCCCTGTCAGCCTATATTAAATTTGTCATCTAGTGAAGAAGGCCAGGCCATGGCGGGGGCGTAAGAACACGAAGAAGGAGATTAGATTAGTTAAGCCCAACCCAAAGTGTCTAATTTCACATGAGTGTGTAAGTAATCTCACAGTTTTTATTCAACCATGGGACTACATGCTCCATACTGGGAACTTTGATCTTTGAAGCAAACTGCTGCACAGGGCGTCGGTGTATTCAAGTGCCACTGGGAGTTGTCTCATTGTAAATGTTTTGTTTTGAATTAGTGCTTTACTATGCAGTAAATATGGTATATGGTGACAATGTATGCTTTAAGTGATGCGATGTGTTAAAAAAAAATGTCTGCGCACAGTGCGCAACTTTAAAAGGTGCTCTGAGGCTACTTCTGGTCGCATTCAGGGTGGTCATCACTGCCAAGGTCTACTGTCGAGGTTTCCGGTTGTCCACGAAGGCAACACTGGTCCTGCGGAGGTTCGGGGAAGCGCATCTGAAGCGCGTTCACGTGTCCATACACACAAACACGCGCGCAGGCCATAGCAGCACACCGGGAGCATCCCTGAGAGGAGGGAGCGCTCGTTTTGGTTTACCATCTGGAAGAATCGCTGTATTAGCTTCTGTCGAGCTTGATCAAAGACTTTCCCTGACGACGCATAATGAGCTCTGCCGGGCGCCGTGGATGCTGAGGCGTGCAAAGAAATCCACAGTGGATCGGGTAAAGGACCCCCGTGTCTCCTCCAGCAGAAGCAGCAAGCCCGAGACGGAATGTCAAGTAGCCCCGAAGAAAGTCACTCCAGGGGCGGCGGCTCCAACCGTGACTTAAAGACGGCCTCTTCGAGCAGCACGTCCCTCGAGGATGGAAATCCACCATCGCTGCACCAAAACCGTATACGCCAGGTGGGTGTCTGTCCGCAGCCTGCTGTCTGCACTAGCTGGCCCAGTCAGCCGTGTAACGAGCAGTCCAAAGCGCTGATGCTGATGCTGCTGATGATGCTGTGCGCCTAGGCAGAGCGGTCATAGGCGTTGCCGTGCTTTATCACATCGGCGCTGCCGAGAAGACAGATTTTCCTATATTGCTGCATAAACTGTGTTTAAATTAGCTGTTAATAATAGAAAAGCTCCTCAACCATCTGTTTTGATAAGCGACGTAGAGGGACGTGCTTCAGCATTGTGTGATAATACCCAAACAGGCCAACTGTGCCAGTTGTTATGGCCGTCAAAATAAACACCACCAGGTCTGCTCTGGCTGAGGGGCTTCAGTGAAGAATGTTTACATGTTATCATTTACCACTGAAAGTTTACTGTCTGGATCGGCCATATCATGACACACTGCAAGTTGTTTATAGTTCTGAATATTTGCTTGATTATTTTGAACTTCAGATGTAATTTTTTTTTCAAATATTTGTAGGTCCATAGACTTTTGTCTGCGACTCTCAAGCTCTTAAAATGACACGCATACACTGTATGTGATATCTGCAACAACATCACATAGAGCGCTGTGCAAAAGTCTCCACTCATTTCTTTGCATTTCACTAAAAAGATGGGAAATACAGTAAGCTCAGTGATTTATTGAAACATGCAAACAGACATGGAAATACAGTACATAAGGCAAAAGCAGAGGTAGTGAGCTTGAATGTCAATATTTGGCATGGGCACCTTTATTCTTCCATAACTCTCTTAGGCAGCTTTCTGATCATTTCTAAGTAGTCATCAGGAATAGTTTTCCAGGCTTCATGAAGGACATTCAAATCTTCGTTTTTAGACGTTGGCTGCCTTTTGCTCTGTTCTCTGTCAAGATCTGCACTATTTCAATAATTGAGGTCTGGGCCCTGGGGAGGCCAATCCAGGATTGATTCTCTTCCATTGTGTGTTATTCTATCCAGGTGTACTTTTACTGTATGTCAGTGTGTTTGGGATCCTTGTCATGCTGGAAAATGAAGTCATTTCCAATCAGATGCTATGCAGATGGTATTGCATGGTGGATTTTATGTGTGTCAAACTGTTTGGTCATTGGTATTTTTTGTAGATTCAGGTAAAGAAATAGAACATGTTATAGTTAGGCGCTTTGCTTATGTTTGAGTGCTTTATAGTTCAGTGTTTTTGTTAAATGCCTTAATACTAAAAAAAAAAAAAAAACTTTTCTTTTTAAACATTAAACATTTGTCTGAAAATGGTCAGGTATAAGGACTGGACTGAATGGAAAAAGAAGCCAATATCCAAGAAAAACATTGAAAAACCTCCAGGAAGCCTGCAGAACTATTGCCCAGGACCACTTTAAAAATTACATGAAAGTCTGGCTCCTTGAAAACAAAATACTAAGAAATGAGGGGATGGCTCAAGACTTACAGACTAACAGTACTGTTTATTTATCACTAAGTTCTAGATTTACTTTTATGAGTACACGTGCTAGTAATATATAGAGTCCCTTTATCTATATCCAAAAGTCAATTTTCATAAATTTTCAGTATGAACAAGAAAATGGATGTAAAGCATTACCATCTAGGCCTGATCATGCAATGTGTGTTTGGCTGCTCGGTGGAAGTGAGTCAGGAGATGGCAGAGGGTTGTTTCCTGTCTCAGTGCATTCTCTGAGGCTAATGTGATTTCAGTAATGGACTGTGGTGCTACATATACACTTGCACACACAGACACACACTTAGACCCTTCTTTTGGGGTGGGGCCTTTGAGCTCAGATACTTGGATGTACTCTGGAGGTTTTGTTTTTTTATAATTAAATGGCACTGAAATATCAAACGCCGCACTGCTCATCAGTGTGCTTGCTTGTTCGTGGTCAACTAATCACATCTTCTACAGGTTTACTATAGTTAGTTTAAAAAAATGCAATTTGCGTACTTCTGTTGATGTGCTCCACAATGAAAGCAGAAAATAGATTTCTTAATTTTCAGATAACAAACTGGATTCACATTTAGGCCTCTAAACAGGCTGTGACACTCAAAGCTTGTTTAGAGGCTAAACTGGTACAATAAGCCACACCTTACAGCTTGAGGCTGCATGACACTGACCTATTGATTTCCAATATATAGTGCTTAACAAATGTATTAGACCATCACCCACTTTACATTTTACATCACAGTTGCACTAAATCATAGAACTGGTAATGACTAAAACTAATTTCACATACATGTAATCATTAATATACCAGTATGTGCAAGCCCTTTAACTCATATATTTTTAATGCTAAAATATGAATTTTCACAATTTACAGTTTTAGGTGGTCTAATAAATTTGATTAGCACTGTGTATGTACAATCATGTGAAAAACAAGTTTTCACAGGTCTACAAAAAATAAATGAATCAAGGTGTTGCAATGGGCCAAAGTACAAACCTCCACCTGACGGAAATGATGTGGTGAGAGAGTGCTGTATAAAGAAGATCTTGCAAGCCTCAGCAAAGTAAAGAAGAGTGGAGTTCTTTCACAGCAAGATACTGCTAAAAAATTACTTTAACTTTTTGCTCCTTAAGGTGGTTCCGCAAGCTAGTGAATCATAACAGGACTCCATGGAGTCCTGTTAAAACTGTTTTTCACATGACTGTATATTACTTCTTTTTTACAGAGAAAAATGTAGGAAAAGATGCTTGAGGCATTGATGAGTAACAAATTGTTCAGTAGAGTGCACTGGGTGCATAATGCATCACAGCTGAGCAAACAGTGGTGCAAAATCAAAATACTTTATATAGCCAGTATGCCCAAAACACAAAAAGATATTACAAATCTTTGAAAACTTGTGTTGGAAGTTGATTCAGGTTTCTGTGTATTGTTATGAATGACTCTGATATTCACTTTCTTCCCCCCTGCTTTGGTACCATCCAACTCCTGAGTCTTGTTCTTGCTTTATGTTGGACTCTCTTCACCATCAAGCTTCTACTTTCTTTGTCTGCCATTTTGTTAGGGCACACTGGTTTTATCAAAGCCTTTTTATATCTGCTGTTGCTGGAAATGACTTTAATGAGCACAGGGAAAATTAAGTATCCTAAATGTGCATGGCCCAGCAAGGAGAGGTACAGATCGAGTTCTTATGTGAAGGCAAATCATGTGATACGTGTGATAATTTTACTCACCGTGAGTATAAAAAATAGCACATTGTGGCCTCTTGGGATACATCACTTTAACTTGCAAGAAAGACTATGGCACATCAAAGGGATACTGTCCAATTAATAGGCTTTTGGCACAAAGAGTACACTTGTCTTGTCTTGTTGTCTTGCAAGTGTGAAAAAGCATCTAGCTGAGTGGATACTCTTGATTTTATCTGTTAAATACATCAGAAAATGTCTTTCTAAAAATGATACCTTGGTTTATGGAGGACTTTAAGGTGTCAGAAGAAACAGGTTTGACTGCAGGAACAATTCTTGTGTTTTTTAAAACTGAACTTTCAAAGATTTTAATCCTGCAAACAAACTTTGTTTCATCTCCAGTGTACTTTCCAAACCACAGATAGACAATATGCGTAAAACTTTAAAAAAGCAAGTTGACATGAATAAATGTAATATATTACAGCACTTTAATGTTTAATATTATGAATAATCTAAATCTTATTGTTGAGCTGGAGTTCACTAAAACAATAAAAGAGCTCTGACACAAAAGGAGAACATGACTAAGGGAGACTGGGATGTGAAGATCTTATTTTCAGGTCTAAAAATACTCCTGTCTCTCTCGTGATTGTCCTGGAGAGAAATCGTTTTTTCCCAGCCAAATGGCTTTGTGTCCATGTCTCTGCGCTCACTGCAATGGACCAATGTCACTGTTCATTTGCACGCTACTCTGAGCTGTTGTTAAATGATTGCTTTCTGCAGTGTACTCCCTTCTCTATCTGAAAGATATGTGGAGTGCGTCAAAATATGTAAACTACTTTCCTGGGCTCCAATAGTAGATTCTTAGGAACAGAGATTGATTCTACTAGATTTTATGTTCATTGCAGTCTAAGACAAGTCAAGGAGCTATTTGAACCTTTTTGCTTTGGTGGAAAAATGCTGCTCCCCTTGTAGATACAGATATAAAACCCAGAAAAGCGTAATGCCTTTATTTTATATCCAAAGATGATGGGTTTAGGCAGCTTGACCTGTTTCTTATTCAGGACTTGACATGAAGGTCCTATTTCAAGTGTCAAGCCCTGTCGCTGCATGCTCCTCTCCTTTTACACCTTTTCTTGTGCTGCATTCCCTCTCCACTTTCTTTTCTGGTTGCCAGTTGTCTTTTCTCCTCGAGAGCCTCGCTTTCTCTTTAAAGGGGTTTGACTCCTTAGGTTGGTTTTCTCCTTGTCTTTTTGGCTGCCTTCCCTACCCATCTCTCATTTCCCAG